ATATGACAATTTTGTCGAGAAATCAATGCTAAAAAGAACTCCTAACTTTGCTAAAAAATCATTAATTTTAATTCGGAAAGTTTTAATTCGGCTGTTGATGCTGATCAGGAATATATATGATTTATGGGGTCGGAAATGATTCCTTCACAGCTTTAAAGGCTTCCAACTAAAATTAGAATACCCTGCAAGGATACCTCAAGTTACAATTTTATCAAGAAGATTCCTCAAAAAGTGCTGATACCCTTGGTAAGGGTACTATATATTTTTGTTTTTTCCCTTTCGCCCAAAAACTTTAAAGCTTCGCTGAACTGCACTTGTTCTCCAATTCTCCTCGTTTTTATTTTTGTTCTTCAACTTTGTTGCTGCATTCAATTGGCTTCTTTGGCGAACTTCCGCCTTTCAGTCCGAGTTCATTTTCTGCTTTCCACTTCTTTCTTCATGTTTTGTTTCGGGCCAATTCTTTAGAAGTTTCTTCTCTTGGCTGGCGGCATAAATTAGTTGTACCGTTAAATTCAGACCCCTTGCAAGGGGGGCAACAAGGGGTTAACGCGCAGCTACCATATAATTTTCAAGCAATTTCGAGTGCTGTCCAGTATTAAATGGGATTTGCTGGTGTTGATATCGAGCTGCAATTTTGGTTTTATGTTTATGATAAAATCTTTGTGAAATTAAGACCCGTAAAAAATGGCTACAGCGATCAGCAACAGAGTTACTGATACTGGTGTAGGGAATTTTTTGCAGAATAAATTAAAGGTTTTTTTTTGCTGTATTGTCAATTAAACAGGAATGATTATAAATTCTCCCTTTACTCCATTTACTTTAGCAAAGTTATATATTGTGTTATGAATTTTATATTTAACTTCATGAAAACTATTTACATTTTATTTATTTAAATTATGGAATAAATGATCTTGTAAGCTCAAAGCTGAATTTGTTCACATTCATTTCATTTTGCTACATTTGATTAGCTTGTTGCTTGGTGAGAAAATTATTTATTTGTCCCATTTTTGTATTTCAACGATTAAACATTGCTGTTTTTTTCTATTGTTGTCTGGGGCTGGAATATTTTCTGTAATTTATAGCAATTTGCCGTAATTGTTGAGTCATATCGGATTACACAATTATTAAAATGAGTTTGTAATGTTATCCGCAGAACTATAAATTAATTGAAAGACTTTTATAGGGAAGCATTCCTTTTGGAGAGATCCCAATTAAATAATACTTCAGCTAAATAGCATCTCAATTTTAAAATAATATACAAACCAAATATATACAAAGGCTTTGTGAAACCAAAGACGATTACATTATAGATTATAGAATACAAGAATAAATTAATCATTCTCAAAAAACAATAATGGTCAGACCATTCCATGTTTATGTTTATATATTCAACAATTGTATATATGTATATAGATGTATGCAGCTGTGAGTGTATCTAAGCTTTGAAAATGTGTGTCACACTGGGATGACATAATTCAAAGTGAAACGGATGACATTCATTACGAGGCAGCGATGCACATATTTTATTTTTGCATATGTAGAGACAAAGCTAACCCTTTGTGTGTGAGCGGAATGCAGTCTCTATATATCTGCGTGTATCCCCCTATTCTTATTTTTATTTTTTTTTTTTGTTTTAGTAGTTTCCTTTCCGTGGAGGATTCCCCCTTTTGTCATGCTCTGGATACGTTATTTCGAGTACAGTTAGGAGGGTACCCTTTCTGAGCGAAAGATGATGACCCCGATCCTCCTTCACATGCGCACTCAACCCGCCGTAAAAGTCAGTCGAGCACTTCGCCGAGGGGTTAATCTCTTCTCCTGGCCCTTCTGCTACCAAGAACTGTGGATTCATCTGCGCTCCAATTGCCTGGCAACGCCAAATGGCATTAGTCGTTCGGTCGCGCTGCCATGGCGATGTGGAATGGGCAATGAAACAGGGGAGGAACGGGGTAAGGATGACTAGCCACGGGTGACCAGGATTATGGTCGTTAGTTATTGATGGCACAGCTGGAGAGCGGAGCGCCAGCAGCTTTTGGCCGCAGGTGCAGGCTGTCAACATGGCGTATACACAACTTGGACCAGCAAAACAGCACCAGATGCAGCCACATTCACTGGGAAATTCAGCATTTGACAGTTTTGGCTATAAGTTTGCCAGTGTTTTATGGCAGAGTTGTACTTTCAAAAAGGAAAGGTCATGACTTTTAAATAGGTTTTGTACAAGGAATTGGTCAATTCGACTAATGTTTATTAATTTTAAGGGGTTTTTAATGCAAATACGTGATTTAATTAGAAAAAACTTAATTGGGCCTAGCAATTTATTACACAACTTCAATAAAACTATAGATAAATTCCTATAAAAACTGTAAAACAATTCTTTCGAAGATTTTCTATCAACATAATTCTAGACATAATTTTCACAGATTTAAAACCCATTGCCTTTCCCTGTGGTTCTTCATCTTATAAGTCCTTCTAATCTGCCAACGTGGCGTATGCGTTATGTGCATATGTTTTTGCTCCCTAATTGAAATATTCAGCCACAAGAAGGCACAAAAAGAAGGCTTTAATTGTGCACTAAGCTGCTTACCTTCCTCTCCTACTCTGCCTAGCGAAAATCTAGTAGTTTCCAGCAGATGCAGCTGGAGAAGAGGCAGGAGAACGCATTCTATAGATACAGATACACAAAAGAGAGAGCCCATAGAACGCCACCAAGAACGTGGACTTGACTCAGGAGCAAGTGAGCAAATGGCCAGAGTAGGGAAGGAGATGGAAGGTTTAAGTACTTGCATTGTTGTTGCGGCTAGTTTTTTTCTTTTTTTCTATGCTTGTATTTCCATTATTTTCCTGTTGTTTGCGGTGTGTTTCTGGCCTGACTAACTACACACTGCAGAGAGGTAACTAATAGAAACTATATACTGTTATCCTTTTTATAATACATATGATCATCAGGTAGATGAAAATCAATTTCAATTACTTTTATCAATTCTACAGAATAATTTTATTAAGTTAACAACTTTCTTTGGACTCTTAGAGACTTCCATTAGTTGCCATAAAAGACATTTTCAATATTTAGAGCTTGCACTGTAGTTTTTTTATTCATTTCATTTTCATTATTTTGTTCGCTTTTACTCTGTTTTATTCTTTGCACTTCGCCTCGCTCTGGCGACAGAGAGAAGATGGGAGCCGGAGAGGATGGGAGGATGGGCGCAGATGGCAAGTGGCGGAGAGGCTGCCGCCGCCGCCATTGCTGACTAGGTTCGGCATCTCAACGCACGACGATGCGATGATGCGATGACGTCGTTGCCATGGCTGCCGTACAGTACAGTCATAGAAACAGGGAGAGACAGAGAGAGCGAGAGGAAGAGATAGAGAGAGGGAGAGGGAGCAGAAAGAGAGGGCCTAGAAGACTAGAGCGAGAGAGAGAGAGTGAGGCAGAACTTTATATAGACAACGCATCCCATGCATAAACTACAAAATTCCTTTTAAAGCGCACAAACTGCATTCGATAGATACAAAGATGAACACACACACACACGAAAAGATACTAAAACCCACACAGATACACCAAACTATTACGGCTGAGAGCGCTTTGCCTCTGTGTCTGTGCATCCGTGTTTCTCTCGGTGTATTTACTTTTCACATTGCATTGCTCATATTTACTTGAAATTCAATTTGCAAACATTTTACGCTGCCCTTTGTTTGCTCAAGTTTCAATTGTAGTTCGCTGCTTCTGCTGCTGCTGCCTTTCCTTTTCTCTTTCCCCCTTTTGTTCCTTTTTCTTTTCCCTCAAAATCTTCTTTTTCTGCCTTTTGCATATTATTTTTGCATTTATTACGCATCAATTTTAAATGCATGGCCAGGAACAGGGGGAAATGCAGATGGAAAAACTTGGGTGCAATGACAGACTGTGCATATTCCCTTTCTGGGAGATTTAAAAAATAATGGAAGTTTATTTCAGCATTTTATTAGTTTTAAATCAAAAGAAGTTAATAATAAAAGTAAAGAAAAATTAAAATCTATTTATAGGAAATATATAAGGATGGTATAAGATTTTATTTTTCTTCTATAAACATTTTTCGAATGTGCATTTCTTTTAGCTAATTCATATTTTGTTTAATTTTAACCTTTATAACTACGATTTCTTTGCTGGCATATCATAATTTGATACCATTTTGATATCTAAACTGCTGTCTAAACATCGAAGACCTCTCCAATGTCATCAATGCCTCCCATATCTCTAATATCAAAGCAAATACAGAATATAATAGCAAATCAAGGCTCTCCTCAAATTGCAAATAAACTTTGCCAAGTCATTTTATATATAGTTATCATTATCACCAATTTGTGTTTATTTCAAGGATATACTACGTACTATAGTAATTTAATTAAAATCTTTTATTTCTGAGATATTTTCCCTTCAACTGCATCTTTTCCGCTTATTTTCTTTTTAATTTTGTCTGCTAAACAATCAAATTATTTGCTATGTGTTTGGGGGGGCGGCATATAAATAAATTTGGCATGACATAAGCAACTGACAGCTGAGTTGCTTTTGGGGTTTGGGGTTTGGGGCTCGCAGGATGCACAAAATCAATGTCAAAGGCCCGCTGAGTTCACAGGCGGCAGCCGCAAGGACATGCATCGGGCAGTATGAAAAAGCGAACCGCAAACACAAAATCACTGCTTGACTGGCGACATATGCACTGGCTGATGATGATGAGATATCCCCCGATACTCTATATATCCCTTCCGCCGACTGGTTTCCAGCTGTGCCGACTGGGACTGTCGAAGGGGAAACAGACAAAAAAAAGGCACGGGAACAGGAGACGGGACAGGAATAGTTCGCCAGCAATGTTAGTTCAAGGGCGGAATCAAGGCTGAGCTCGGTTCGGAGCTCCCTTTCTATAAATAGCACCTCTCTCCCTCTCTCTGTCGCTCTGTCTGAGGACGTTCCGTCCCTGTCGCTCTACACACCATACACGGCGTATACGCAATATGCGGAAACTCACCACAGAAGAGGAATTGCATAGCATGTCCTTCGTGCGTTCGTTGTTGCATGCGGCTTGGCATCCTCTTTGCACTTGAACCATTGTCCTTTTGGCACCGCCACCCATCGTCCATCGCCCACAGCTGGCTATCCCTCTCTTCCTTGTCACAAACACAAGCGGAAAAAAAAAAGAAAATGCGAAATTTAAAGGAAGCGAATGAAGGAAAGTGGGAAAAGTGCTCACTGCCTCTGGGTTTTCACACTTTTCAATATTTGTTTGTCAAGTTCTTAAATCCTGCCATAAGCTGTTACTTATAAGTACCTGTCTTTATAGTTTGTCAACTGTTTTTTATGGACGAGAAAAGTACAAGTGCAAAAGTTTGACTTTGAAAAACCTTTTATTGAATTATTGTGTGGAAAATTATTAAAGACCCGAAGATTTCTATGTTATTTATAAATAAATCAAAATGTTTATATTTTATTTTAGGTAATTATTATAAAATCTCTATTTCCCAACGTTTTTTTATGAAATAAACATTTCAAGTCATGTTCAGTGGATTACCTTTAAATATTCTATTATTACACTCATCGATTTTATAGTTTAGATTCCTGTTAACCAATTATTTTTCCCCCCACTTTTTCTTTTCACTTGTTTTGTTGTGAGCTTTGATTTCTATGGAAATGCCGCTGATACGATGAGTAATTCAAATTGCGGAATAGACAAAAGGAAACACCAACTGCAAAGGAATGTTTGTGTGTGAAAATTTAAAATTTGCACTAAAGCCCCATTCTATTAAAGCTACTGCACTTCAAGGTCAAAGAGAAATGGTTAGAAAATGCTGTTTTTATTTATTTTTATACAAATTAACAAAGAAACTTATAGGTGCTGTGTAGATAAAAGAAAAAATATAAATGGATCTAAGAGCTTAAGATTTCCCTGTTTTAATTTAAAAAAGTAGAGTTAAATTACAATTAAATGAATACAGAAAATAAATGTTGGTTATTTTCAATCTATAATAAGCAGAGATTAAAATTTCTGATATACTTAAATACTTTTTGAATAGCACTTTTTTACACCGGATTTTGAATTTAAACTGTATTACGCACAAAAAAATCCATTTGCTGGCATTTCAGACATATGAATACAGATATATTCATCTATATATATTGGAAAAGAACGATTATTCCGCTTCATTCCATTATCATTATCAGCGGCAAAAAAGGGGAAGCCATTCGAGGCAAAGGCCGAGTGCATTCAACTGCCGTTGGCATGACGAGTATTTTTTAAAAATAAATAAAATAAAATACCTTAAGAGAATAAGAAAGATTTGCAAAGCACCAAGAAGGAAATTTCGAAATTTCTGTTAAATAAAAATAAAAAACCTTTGCTTTCGATATTAAGTGTTCCTAAAACCCATTAGTTTTCCAATTTTAATTATTTTTCGCTTTTTTTGCTGCTTCCTCTTCGTTCTCTTCTTCTTGACAGCGAACAAAAGCGCACCAACACAACTGCAAGATCGCTGTGTGGGTATGTGTGTGCATGCGCAGTGCAATTTTCAAGTTGTTGTTGCTTGTCGTAGGGCCCCTCTGTTTCGTTTTTGTTGTTGTTTTGCTCATTCGCTTTTGGCCTGCACTTTGCTTTTTCGGTGAGTCTATATGCGTGTGTGTGTGTGTGTGTGTACGCGTGTGTGCATGTATGGGTATGACTTCATTTCCTTTGTCGTAGGTCATCATCAATTGCAAGGAAAAATGCGTTTTAATTGCTTTTAATTCGTTTTCTTTGTGAAAATCTGCAACTTTAGATGGTTTTTCTGTTTTAGTATTGGTTTTCCATTTTTTTTAAGTTAGAAATTGCTGTTCAAAATGTCTTAAAGCGGTTGACGGCTTTTTTTCGGCGTAGAGTACAGCACATCAAATTATATTAGTTTTTTAGGTAGTAAAGAAAAAGTTCGTTTATCACTTGTTTTTTATTTATATCTATTCTATATAATTTTTTTTTATTCTGTTTTTGTATTCTTACAATAAATTTACAGTTAATCTTGTATTTTCGGGGATATTTTAAAGAACTGTATCTAAAATTTGGTTTTCACTCACTTTTTTAGGGAAACAACGTGTTTTCTTTGGTTTTTTAAAATGTATTTGAAAGTTTAATGTTTAGCACTTGATCATTTTTACTTGCAATTAATATATATATTTTTTGCACGCACACACCGAAAACTGACACACAGAGTTGATTTGCAGTCGTTTCTATCCGTCTTTTGCGAGTTATTTCTTGCATTTCTTTTTGAAATTTATTGTTTACATATGTATATACTTTAGAGACTGCCACAATTGTGCACTTTCCGCGACATGACGTTGCATGCATGCATTTCAAAGTGGTGCTCCGCACTGAATAAAAAGGGTAGAGAACTTAACTTTATTCACCAGCAGCGGCGCGCACTTGGCCGTCCAGGGTTGCCACCGTCGCGCAAAGTGCCAAGTGCAAAGAAGACGACGGGGGCGAAAAAGTACGAGCGAGCGACATGGAGAGACGGAGACGGGACAAAAATGGTAATAAAAGCAAATGAATCGCACCAAGTGCATCCAAAGCCTGGGGAAGGGGGAACGGCCGAAAAGAGAGAGAGACAGGGGGCGAACGCCGGCCGCCTTTTGCGTGGCAATTTGTTTGTGTGTATTGCAATTTCTGGCTGCACTCTCTCGCTCTCCGCTCTACACACTCTCGCAAGATTTAAGCTATAAACACACATACGCATATTTACATACATACATATTCCTTTTTAATAATCTGTAATTTTTAATCATTTTTCTTACCAGTGTTGGACAACGTCGCCAGCACGCGCACACCGATCGCACCTGTCAAAGGCTAATATGTAATAAAATTAGCTTGAAAAGTGCTTAAAAATCCAACAAAGTGCAGTGTATTGACGACCGCACGCACACTTGCACAGACACACGCGTCGCCAAAGAGTAGGAGGTGGAATCCAAAAGTCGCGAACCGACGTGTGCAACGAAACTTTCGCAAATGAAATGCAATTCCAAAATTCACTTTGGCCGGCGACAAAAGAAAGCTGAGGCACAGGCGGCGTCGACATGCGCTGCAAAAACACAAAAGTGATGGAATGACGCGCACCAGCAAGAACAACAACATGAAGCAAGCAACTGAAGAGAACTTGCGAAGCTTGCAGTTTCTCTTAATCGTTATGTATGTGTGTCTGTGCATCATTCTCTCGCTGCCGCTGTGTATGGGTGCAGTTGCATTTCCCCTTTTGTGTTTGCAAACGCAAAACTGGTTTAGTTTTCTCTCTTCAGAAAATTTATTAAACAGATACTTAAAAATAAGTTGTTAATTTTCGATAATTAAAATGAAAAACTGTCTCCAAAGTCCATTAAAACCGTTAATAATAATTTAATTTAATTGTATTTTAATTTAAAAATATGATTCGACACACAATATTTAGTATTCTTTATTATTTATAGTTTATTTTTTTTATTATTATGTATCCGTTTTTATATATTTCGCTCACATTTGGTTAGATTTAAATAAAAATCAGTTTGAAATTGCCGCCAAACAAAAACCATTATCCTCTTATCGATATATCGTCTTTAAAGCTTTCGAAACGACCACTGGAAAAAAAACCTAAAAAATACTGAAAGCTTTTTTATCGTGCCGCTATCGATATTTCCTGTCAGAGCCCATCGATGTCATCGGTTCTGTGCCATCGATGCAGTAACATCCCTAACTCTCGTGCTCGGCTCGAAATTTAATAATAAATTGAATTTATTAATTAAATCCGAACAAATCCCGCAATGGCATCCATCCTGAGGACGGGGAAACTGCTGCGCTACTTTGCCGGCTTTACGCGAAACGTGGTGGTGAACTCGGTACGAGAGAACGAGACGAGCAGCCTGGTCAACAATGCGCCCTGCATGTGCGGAGGCTTCCAGCAGTGAGTTCAAGAAAATCACCTACAAAGTGCCGGCATTACGCAATGTCTGCTTAGATTTATGTAAATAGTGGGGTGGATTTAATAAATTTCCCATTGATGGCAGCTTAAGGAAAAGGTTAGAAGCCCCATAATAGCAGGTCCACCTGCGGTAAATGTAATACCTAATGTTTACATAACCTCATCCAGGCTGAGGGAGCCCACTTTTGGGAGCTGTTTTTAGACCTACGAGTGATATTATACATTTTTTATATCATTGAGTGGCAGAAATTCACAATAACTCTCTTAAAGCATCCTAGTTCAATTGGAAAATATAGTTATGTTTGATTACTTGTAATATTCTTGAGTTTAAATAATATTCTTTGCATGTACAAATCGATCCCCATTACTAATTATTATTCTCCTTAACTTCAGCGGATTTGCCACAAATGCCGCTGCCAAAGCCGAGCTAAGTCTGGACAAACAGATCCGCCGCCTGGACCAGGATGTGCGCCGCATTGGACGCATTTCGCGACGAGACCTGGAGGAGGTGCTCGACGAGATTCGCACGCACAGGACGGCCACCAGCTCGCAGTCCTTGCTGGTGATTCGCTGCTGCGGCAACCTGGTGCCCGAAGAGCTGCCCGAGGTGCGAACGGCCTTGGTGCAGGAGATCTGGAAAACCCTTAACGCCTTGAACGTTCCTATGGACATCTCGCACTACAATGCTTTGCTAAGGGTTTACCTGGAGAACGAGCACGGCTTTGCACCCACCGATTTCCTGGCCGAGATCGAGGCAAAGGGTATTGAACCCAACAGAGTCACCTACCAGCGGCTAATTGCGAGATATTGCCAGCAGGGAGACATCGAGGGCGCCACCAGGATCCTAGAGTTTATGCGCGCAAAGAGTCTGCCGGTGAACGAGAATGTCTTCAATTCCCTGATCCTGGGACATTCGCAGGCCAACGATCTGGAGTCCGCCAAGGGCATCTTGAGCGTGATGAAACAGGCTGGCCTGGAGCCCAGTGCGGATACCTATACGACGCTGCTATGTGCCTTTGCCCGGCACGGAGACCTTGCTGCCCTGAAGGAAACCCTTGCCGAGTGTGAGCAGAAGGAGATTATATTGCTGGATAAGGATCTCCTGGACGTCGTCTACACACTGACAATAAATGGCAATGGGGAGCACGTGGACGAGGTGCTAGCCAAGCTGCGTCTCTCCCCGGGCTTCAATCAGGACGCCGTAAACGTGATCCTGCGGTTAGTTAACAAGGGATACGAGGATGTCGGCATGAAGCTGCTCCGTGTAATGCCCCGAACGAGTCGCGTGAATGGCGAACCTGTAGATGTGGGAGCCTTCTTTATCCGGCAAATGGTGAAGGCCAACCGGCCGGTGGAGAAGATACTCAACATTTGCAGGACCCTCCAGGGCGAGGGACTAAATCCCAAGGCTTTGACCATTGCCACGGAGGCGGGACTGACCAACGGGGTGGTGAACAATGCCCTTCCCCTGCTGCACGAGATGAAGAACGCCGGGTTGCCCATCAGGCAGCACTATTTCTGGCCCTTGATCTGCTCCGCAGAGTCGAACCAAGTCCTGGATATTGTCCGTCGCATGCAGCAGGAATTTGCCGTATTTCCCAACTCGGAGACCGTCAGGGATTATGTGATTCCGAACCTTAAGGAGAAGAACTGGGAACGCATTGTCACCGCTCTCAGGGATGCTGGCGTGCCCAACTCCACGGCCGTGACCTCCGCCGTGTACTCCGCCTTGGTCACTCACCAGATTGCCGATGCTGCCAAGATTATGGAGCAAAACAAGGCCTACTACGTGCCCTACCTGTTCAGGCAACCTCTGATCCTGGCCCTGAGTCACACCAACGATTACGCTTCCTTCATTCGCTGCGTTCGCCAAATCCACGAGGGTTTGCAGGTGAGACAGGGCAAGGAGGAGGAGGCCGAGCAAGGAGCAGAGGGAGGAGCTGCAGTGCCCACCGAACGCAGCACTCCTGATGTCGTGGGCACCATCGTTCAGGAGGCCTCCACCTATTTCCGTCGCGATCGCGTGGTCACGCTGGAGAAGATCCTTAAGGGTCTGGTCAAGCAGGGTCTGTCCATTAGCAGCGCCAAGGCCACGCAGTTGTCGGAGCAACTGGGCTCCGAGCTGACGCCAAGGATCTCGGAGCTGTTGGGCAAGCTGAGCTCGGGAGAACTGGAACCAGTGCCGCTGCCCAATAGTGGCAAGCGCAGCCTGGACTCGTTGTCCATCGATGGTGAGTGGTTGACCCTTTGGGAACCGATGTATCATATAAAATATTGAACTAATTCTTGAATTTTCTCCTTCCCCTGCCAGAACTTGAACGCTTCATTGTCACCGTAGAGGCAAAGGGCGATAATGCTAACAACATCAAGCGACAACTGCTGAATGCCTGCTTCCGATCGCAGAACCTTGAGAAGACTCTGCAAGTCATCGAGAAACTGGATACAGAGAAATTCCAGATTCCCATCGGCATCCATGCCCAGCTCATCGATCTGTACACGCATCACAGGAGGAGCGCCGAAGCACTGGAGGCCTACGGCAAGCTGAAGGCCAAGGATGCAGCTTTCAAGTTGGACAACCTAAAGGCCGTTCGACTGGCCGATCTGCTGCTGCAGGAGGAGCGTGAGGCGGAGGCCTACAAAGTCCTGGAGGACAACAAAAAGGATTCTCCCATCTCGGAGTCGGAGGGAAGCTTCAACTATGTGAGCACCGTGTGGAGAATACTCAACTCCCTGGCGGAGGTGGGACAGGCGGAGAAGCTGCGCAAGCTATTCGATGCTATGGTGGCTGCCAATTATATTGTGCCCACGAATGTGCTCCTGGGACCCCTCATCAAGGTTCACCTGGTCAAGGATGACATACCCAGGGCCATTGAGGCCTTCGAGGAAATTTGCAAGAAGCACAAGTCAACGCCATGGAAGAATGAGCTCGCCTGCCGGTTGATCCAAAAGGAGGACGCGGCGAATCTCCAGAGACTGACGGACCTTAGCACCGGGATTCACGGGGAAGTCAACAGCTTGTATGACCTGGTGTTCTCCTTCGTGGAATGCGGACGCGTGCGACAGGCGAGGAAGATCTTGGAAACACCCGGACTGCGGACACGTCCCCAGCGGATCAGCAGTGCCTGCGATCGGTACAAGAACGAGGGACTTCTGCAGCCGCTGGAGGGTCTCATTGAGGCCACCAAGGACCTGGGACACATCGATCGGAACAAGATCTATTACACGCTCCTCCTCAGCTACGACAAGGCCAACGAAGCGGAAAAGGCTCTGGGCTTGTGGACGAAGATGCAGGAGGAGGCTGTGACGCCTAACGATGCTTTCCTTCTAAAATTGGCCGATATCCTGAAGAAGAATAACCTGGAGGTGCCGTTTGTGGTCCCCGAGACTCAAAAGGAAGCTGCCAAGGCTAAGAAAAATAAGGTTAAGGATCTGGCAAAGACGGAACAAGTTAAGATTCCGGAGCAAGCCCCCAAGGAGAAGCTCCCGCCCAAGAAAGAACCACAAGCTAAGGCGGAAGCTGCACCCAAAACCATTTCCGCGCTGTCTGGCTTCCGTAAGGCCATCCTGGCCAATGATCCCGACACAGCCATCGAGTACAAGAACAAGTTTATTAGCGGCGACAAAGTGAACGCTTTGGACACCTCCCGATTGATTGAGCTCCTCGTTCGCGCCGACCGTCTCGCAGAGGCCTCGAAATACGTTGATGAACTCCTTGCCGGCAACCAGCATCCGCAGCCCAAGATCTTCAAGTTTTATCTAAACAAAATAGCGGCTGCCGGGGATCTGGAGACTCTGGAGAGAATTGGCAAGCAGCTGAACGAGGAGCAGAAGCGTCTCGTTTCGTTTGATAATCGTTATTGTCATGCCAACATCGTGGCCGGCAAGGCGGAGCAGTTCCTTCAGAGGCTAACCGCCGAGATCGAGTCCGTTAAGACGCCCGAGGAGGCGGCCAAGCAGGCCGGCAAGTTCCCCAGAGGTGGCGCCGTGGGCATACTGGACAAGCACCCGGAATTGGTGCCGCAGTGTAGGTTTATTAAGAATCCACATTAGGCATTTTCATAATAAATCCCCCCTTTGCAGACCAAATTCTGGCGGAGAAGTACGCCGCTCACAACCAGCTGGGACCCATGAATGTGCTGTGGATGCATCTGATCTCCAGCAACCAGGAGGCTGCCTCCAAGCAGATCTGGGACAAGTACCTGTCCAGTGCCCCGCGACTGATGTTCCAGCGTGTTCTGCAAACTGCACGGGAGCAGCAGGATGAGAAGCTAGCCGGCGTGGTGATATCCCAGCTGAGGGACAGTAAGATCTCCGAGGGTGCCATCGGTAACGCCTACTCCTGCCTCATCGACATCCAGACGACGAAGGGCCACCATGACAAGGCCCTAGACGTGCTGGCCAATGCGATCAAGGACGTCTCCCTGGAGAATATCAACAGAACAGCGCTGCTCCGCTTAAAGCAGGCAGTGGAGGAGAAGTCCCAGAAGTTCCCCTACACGATTCCCGAGAAGCGAGCCAAGGCGAATGACGACTCCAGCTCCTCGTCGTCCTCATCCTCCAGCGACGATGATGTGTCGCCATCGATACCCGAAACCGTTCCCCAAAAACCCGACAGCAAGGCTTAGTTCTGCTCCTGCTACTTATCTAGTTAAAACCCGTCGTGATTAAAGTCTATTTTTAAAAGTATTTACGATTAATGGCTAAACAATTTTTTAAACTAAAGAATAAATTTAGTTGTTTTGTTGCAAAAATGATTTATTGCCTAGAAAAGTACCGAAAACAAGTGCAATAATTAGAAAACTATTTACATACGTAGCAAGGATCCGCATATCTAATAATACCTTAAACAAGATGCAATCTCAGTACGGAACACTGGTGTTGACGGCCACTTCCAGGGCCGTGAGGAAGCCGTGTTCCTGCTGGTAGACCAGCTTGTGGAGAATATCGCCCAGTGTCTGATGGCAGCGGATGTAGGTGGCCTCGATCTCCGCCACCTGATTGTGAGCCATATACTCGTCCCTCGCGCCGCCACTCGAGTCGTCGTCCTCCATGGCCAGGCTGAGGGCATCGTTGTCGCCGAGATGCCTGGCACAGGCTGTCCACTCCATGTGCAGCACGAACACCAAGTAGAAGAGTTGCTCGAGGGCCACCCGGAAGGGAACAAAGTCTTCGGTTAGCAGGCAGCGGGTCAGCAGCCTGGTGACATAATCATCGTGCTGGACGCTCAGCTCCCGGATGTTCTTGCATCCGGAAATCCGCCGCTCGAACTTCACTGCCAACGCGCCCATGATGTGGCTGTGAAGGCTGTCGGTGAGGTAAATCAGCCAGAAGCGCAGGATCTCCAGGCGTCGTATGGTCAGGTCGTGGAGGTCCAACGGAGCATAGGCCTCGGTTTTGGGACGCCTCAGGAAGGCGAGATTCTCCAGCTTCCACACCGCCCATTTGACCTTCAACATCAGCCGCCACACCGCATTGTAGGACTGCATGTGGCGCTCAGTGACAATGCGCTGCAGGGCCACCGGCATGTCGTAGACCAGCTCCAGGGCCTCCAACGCCTCGTAGGCATTGTGCGATTGGCAAGCCACCTGGGAGATGACCTGCACGTGCAGCTGGCCCGCGCACTGAGGGTAGGCGGACGACAGGGCCTCGTAGAGATCCGAACTGAGCTGGGCTTCCCGAGCCCAACCAGACTCCGTCTCGATGCGAACGAAGAGTGTGTTGTAGAAGGGAAAAAGCAGATAGTAGGCCTCCAGGAGCATGGTGTGTCGCAGGAAGCTAATGGTTTCGCCTAAGTGGAGGACCTCGCAATACGCCCGCATCGCATACTCATTGGCCAGGCTCTGGCGGCGTAGCAGGATCTCGCGCAGGGCGTCCGGCAGCTCAGCCTTGAGCTGCAGGCAGGTGGAGTCCTCCAGCTGGGACAGTACTTCCCTCACCTGGACACTGGAAGGAGGAGATCTATGGCGCTCCTGGCTCTCTAAAAGACGCTCTCTTGCTGGACGCGTGAATATGTGCAGAAGGTCCAAGTTCCGAATGCCCTGGACACTGCTCAGCAGTAGCTCATCCGCCATCTGTTCAGCCTTCGCCGTTTCATCCTTTTCCTTCTGCTGTTCCTCCTCTTCCTTCTCCTTCCCCTCCTCGGGAAGTCTACCTTCTCCGCAGTAGATCCTCACCTGCGTCAACAACTGGGCAGCCAGTTCATCGTACAAAGATCGAGGCTGACTCTCATTGCTGTTGGCCAGCATCTCGCCCAGCAGATTCACATTGGCCAACAGATCCTGTGTGTCTCCCGACTCCAAGGCATGCTCCAGCAATATCTGATAGAACGGACAGTGACGCAGCTTCTTTAAGCTTTCTAAGACCGTCGGACTTTCTTCGGAAGACACCGAACGCCTGCGCACATATCCATTCGAGTCCCCTGGCTCACACCTCTCCACAACGAACTCATTCTGGCGGTCCTCGAGCGTGGCCCGACGCCACCAGGCATCGATTATGCTGCAGTAGCGCTTCAAGGAGACCAGGAGCAACGCCGTGGCCAGCTTCTGGTGCGGCACATGGGGCTGCGTTTGTCTATAGAGACGGGAGAGTAAGTAAGAGGTGCGCAAGTGCGGGGGTCCCTCGCCCAAAATCGCATCTTCCGCCAGACTACGGAGCAAGTGAAGTCGCCTGAAGTGTTGCCTAAACTCGGCCACAAAGCTTATCAGGCTTGCCTCGCTCTCCCGATCTTCGTATTCGACCAGGAGTTGAGAAATGGGCTGAACCAGATCTCGCAGGCCATAGGCAAAGCACTCTAGGGTGCCCGTGCTGGAGTCGTGGGAGAACAGAGTGTGCTCATCGATGATGTGTCGCAGCTTTAGCATGTCTTCCAGTGCAGGCACCACGTTGGCCTCCAAAAAACCTTTAAGAGTGTCCTGAAACGGGGAACAGAGAGACTCAGATAATGCGTAAACATGTATCTCATTCTCCTACCGCAGTCACCGTGTGGACGCTGATATTTCCGAGCACCTGGATGCATCGCGTCTCCTTGTCAAAGTCGAAAAATCCGCAAGTCGCCGGCCGAACGAACATGAACAGGATCTCCCGCAGCAGGCAAGCCTCCGTAACGGTGTTCGGTGGCCGGAGTTCCATCAGGCCGAGGGTTTTAAAATTCACAAACTGGACATAGCTCACCGCAAAGTTCTCCAGGTGATCGGCGTCCGCAGGCAGGGCAAAGCTCCGCACATTCTGGCGCCACCAAGAGGCATGGATGGTCCGCGGCAGCAGTTTCTCATCCAGCACACTCTCTTCGTACGGGCTGGCCGCCATTGGAGGCAGCGGTGGTGCCAGCTGGGGCAATTTATTTCGACGGAGGTCCGTCCCTTGGCGGTTCCCTTCGCCGAAAACCACAGGCTGAATGATGCGAAAATTGCTGCCGGTAGGTCTGTCCACTTTCCCCGGTGGCAAGTGGAGGGGTGCGGAGGTACTGCTGGAAATCGCCGCCTGCATTGCTTGTTCGTACACCGTAGCTATATTCGGCCTGGTATCGCTCTCCAATACTCCGATTTCGACAGGATCGCTTTCGTCTTCCGACCATTCACTCAGGCTGTCCGAACTGCCGCCCAGCGATTGGGCTGGCTGAATGAAGTCTTCCTTAAGCAACGACGCCCAATCCACCTCCATGTCAATCGGATCATTGTCTGCGGTTGCTGCGTGCTTGTTGCTGCTCCTACTCTCGGCCACCTCTAGGGCAGCAATTGCAGACTCCCGGTGCTGGTTCATCAGTACCCAGTTCCTTCGGATATTCTGAATGGGCTCGTAGGTCAAGCTGAGCAGGAAGTCCAGCAGGGACCACTGCATGTTCTGGCTGTTATGGTCTTGCCCCTCGGGCTGCTCCAGCACCTTGGCACTTAGCTCCCTAATAGCGTCCCCGAAGGCGGGCATGTCCTCCACCCTCAACCGTTCCACTAGACCGTCCAAGTTGCGGCTCACTTCGTGGCTGTTGGTGATCAGGTAGCGATGGTTCCGGATTGTTTTCGAGGCCATCTGCTCGCTCTGCTGCAGCTCCCGGCTAGTCGCCTGCCAGAGGAGTCAGTAAATCTGGTCAATAATTCCCGAGATCCGATTTTGTACTCACCTCGGCCGGCGACAGCTGCCGGATCAGCTCCTGCAAGTTCTCCGTGATACTGGCTTCGCTCATTGGCGCTTAAAACAAATTTCTTTGGCGAAGAATTTTCGCCGGATAGATGTTGCGATAGTATCGCTTGTTTGATGGCGGTTCAGCCAGACCTATCGATATGCTCACACTATCGTTTTCATTTGGAGGGAAATTTTGATTTGGGCATTATATTTTGAGATGTTAATTAATTAAATATTAATATGAAAAGACCTTGTTATAAATAACCGATCTATCACAAATTATCTCTCGTATGTTAATCGATGATATATACTTAATGTTTCTACACTGAAGCCCATAATAAAATAACATATCAATTCTAAAGATCTCTAATTAGCTGACATTAAACCAATTAAAACACGTCTTATTGAAAAATAAATCTTAAATAATGGTTGAAATAAATTTAACATTCCGTATATTTTTTCTCTCTTTTTTTGTGGGGACACTGTAAATTACAGTCGACTTATTTATTTTTATTTGTTGGTCATTTTTCCTAATAGTAAACAATTTAAAGAAAAATATAATTATATATATTATTATTTGTACATTTGGAATATAAATACAGACAAGCGATGAAACAATTATTTACCATTTAAATCAAATATTTTTGTTTTTTTACAAGTAAGTGATTAATGTTGACAATCAAAAAATTATATAAAAAAAGGGAAATTTATAGCGTAGCTTCCTATTTTACACGAATGGACTGCTTATATTTAATTTGGTTTAGTAATTTTTAGATACTCTTTTAAATTAAAAAAAAATTATACAGCACAAATATTATAATTGTATGACATTGTTTGTGGAAATGCCAAATGTTTTTTAAAAGATCCTTCATGTGATTCAGACAATCGGAATACTAATTCCAGTCACTTCTTATCGTGAATTCGAAGGTGGTCCTGATAATTACATTTAAAACGAAACGACTTTGAGCAGGTGGAACATTTAAATGGTCGATCTTCCGTGTGAACTCGGCTATGTGTCTTGAGAGTACTGTGCTGGGCAAACGACTTTGAGCACTGGGAACACTTGTATGGTTTCTCTCCCGTATGAGTGCGCATGTGCACCTTAAGTTGACCTTTAGTGGGAAACGACTTTGTGCATTGCGAGCAATTGTGCGGTCGCTCTCCCTTGTGAACTCTGAGGTGCGAATCAAGATTAGTTCTACAGACAAATGTCCTTGAGCATTTTGAACACTTAAACGGTCGTTTTTTTGTGTGAGTTCGACGGTGTTCCTTGAGCTCATCTGCCTGGAAAAACCTCTTGAGGCAGTGCGAGCACTTATGCGGTCCCTTTTCCATATGAGTTCGGCTGTGTGCCAGTAGATGATCATTCCGGGAGAATGACTGAGAGCACTGGGAACACTTGAACGGCCGTTCTCCCGTGTGAGTGCGGATGTGGGTCTGAAGATTAACTTTCTGGGAAAACGACTGCGAGCAATGGGAGCATTTAAACGGCCGGTCGTCTGTGTGGGTTCGGATGTGTGCGAGAAGGGTTCTTTTCTCGAAAAAGGACTTTGGACATTCGGAACACTTATGCCTGCGCTGCCGCTCTTCTTCGTGAGCTAGGATGTGTTTACGAAGATACCAGTCAAGAGAAAATGACTTCGAGCAGTGAGTACACTTGAACGGTCGCTCTCCCGTGTGTGTTCGGCTGTGAGCCTGAAGATGAGTTTTCTGTGTAAATGACTTCGTGCAGTCTGAACACTTATATGGTCGCTCTCCCGTGTGAGTCCGTAAATGTACATTAAGATGACTTTTCTGGGAAAACGCCTTCGAGCATTGGGAGCACTCGTAGGGTCGGTCTTCTGTGTGAGTTCGCTTGTGATCTCTAAGTCCCTTTGAGTCGCGAAACGACTTCGGGCATTGGGCACACTTGTACGGTCGCGGTTCCTTATGGGATCGAATGTGCTCCCGAAGACGTCCTTTTTGGGTGTATGTCATTGGGCACTGAGGACACTTGTGCTGTTTTTCTTCCGTATCAGGGTTGGAATCATCCCCTTTCAATTTATCCTTTTTCAGCTGGCGAAAGGTCTCGTGGCTTTTCTCCAATGTTTGCCTTATCTCAAATGCCGTTTGTGCACATTGTAGGCAGCTCTCGCAGATGGTTTCGGGATAGGAATCACCCTTAGAAATCTGATATGGCGTGCATTGGGTTATCATATCGGCGATAGAGATCTCCAGTTCCGGAACGTTGTCGAATATATTGATCATGACCGGCGAGGTGTCCAGACATGAGCGACAGATTTGCCTACAATAAAAGAAATTATCGAATCAACAAAACTATTGCCAGGAAACATGTTGAGATCCAGTCTGTATCCACATTTTAGTGTTTTTTTACTCACACTTCCATGATTGATGGAACCCGCTACTATTTTTGAAGTGTATGAAAGTATTGCAAATGGATAGATATCAATGTCCGTCAAAAATAATAATACACTACGGCACGGCACCGAAGGACTGATGCGTGATCACTTTGCTATGACGTCAAGACAAGAGCGACGGCTGTACCTGAAATAAAGAAATATTCGTATCAAAAAATGTTTTTGCAGAAAATATATTGAGATGCGATCTGTATCTATGTACATATGTGCATTTGCATGCAAGAGTGTTACACACACATATACATTCATTTGTATACTGAACACTTGCATTTATGTGGCACCGGCTGCGTTTTTTAAATGTATGAAACTATCGCCTTGACAATGTATAGAGTTTGATGTCCTCAAGGAATAATATATGGCATTTGCTCGACGCCGATGGTTAAATGAGTGATTAACGCGTGAAATTTAATCGGGTTTAAAATTTAGCAGCGTATTTCCCTCTTTAGCAATTTTAGAGCTGGGCCGATGTTATCATATATCGATATGTGGCTGATCGTTAAACACAAAGAGCGCCTTATCGATAGTTTAAGACACTTATTAAGTCATAAGGGGAATTCCGTTTTATATTTTGTAGTAAAAGGTATAAACGTTTAATAAAATTAAGGGTTTTTACACGAATATTAAATGTAAAAGGTCTGATGTAAAAAATAAATATAATATAATAAAATTAATAATATAATAAGTATAATATAATATAAATAAAAAGCCACACTACATAATTCGTATGCAGCGGATGAATACGTTAGGTAGTTTTCTATACTGCTAACAATATCGTCGATTTAATTAAAAATTTAGTTGTTGGAATCAATTAGGAATTTCCTTATTTCTTACCGGCCTAAAAATAACTCCGATATATCTAAAAAAGTTCGCTCAATTATATAGGGAGTAATAGAAACTTTTTTGATTGATTAGTTATTTGAACCATTTTTATTAACAAAAAATTTAATATATATAAAAATATTGACTCTATATCACTCTTATTCCGATTTTAGTTTAGGTATCCTTGATGGTAAGGTAAATAAGAGAAAGATATTAAAATATTGTAGATTTGCCATTAAAATTATATTTTATAAAAAATGCTATATATATAAATAAATACAAAACAAATTAATTGATTTTTCATCATTTCAAAATGACAACAAATTTAAATTAAAATATTTTGCATGAATCGTTTATATATAATTAAATATTTTAAAATGAATTAATTTTTCATATTGTTTAAATATTAAAATTTAAATAATGTAGTTGGTATTTTAAATGCTAAATTAAGTGTGCAACACAGGAAATATTTGGGAATTTAAAATTTTTAATTTTTGACTGTAGACTTTCACAGTTTTTTTTTTTTACTTACATACAAATATTTTCTTATACATTTAATAGGCTATGTAATGGTATAGTTTTGTCCCTTCCAAAATAATTACCCAAAATAAATATTTTAAAATTAATTAATTTTTCTAATTTTATAATAATAAAAAATGTAAATAATATATTTGGTATATTAAATACTAAATTAAGCGTGGAACACAGGAAATATTTGAGAATTGAAATTATTTAATTTTTGACTGTACACTTTCATTTTCTAATACATTTAGAAGGCTACGCAATGTTATAGTTTTATCTTCCCCAAAATAATTAACTCTGATTTTTAATTACACACTCAATATATGTATAAAAGATCATTTTAATAAATATATATATTAATTTTTTTTGAACATATATTTTTCAGATATAATTTTAAACTAGTTTTTTTTTCAGTGGGTTATTTTTTGACACCCCTTTCCTGACAGTATCGTGACATTATCGTGACCATGTCGATATATCGATAGCTTGCCAGTAAGATGGACATATCGAATTTACTTTCCGCTCTAGTTCGCCGCGTTTGCTTTTTTTAGTTCAGTCAAAAATTTTCATCGTTGTTTTTCCGCATTTTCCCAACATTTTCGCGCGATGGGGGAAAGCGACGCCGAAAGTGATTCAAGCAGGAATTCTAGCAGCAGCAGCTCTAGTGGCAGCGGCAGCGGCAGCGACAGCGACGCTTCCAGGAGTGAGTCCTCCGCCAGCAGTGACCGCGAGGAAGAAGAAGCAGCGCCGTCGTCGAAGAAATCTGCCAAAGATGCGAATAAAACTGATGATAAGGAAAAGGTGGAGGCCCCACCGAAGGAGGTGGAACCTAAGAAGCCAAAACAATCCGAGGAAAACTTGGCCGGCGAAGAGCTAGCGTCAGTTTCCCATTCTGCTGGCGTGGAAAAGCGGGAAGAAGAAGCAGTCGTAGCGGAAAAAGTAAATGAACCGGAAAAATCAGTGGAAACTGAGGCACCAAAAGAATTGACATCCATTCCTGGCAAAGAGGCGGAAGCCGGCGCAGGTGTGTCCAATGAGCAGAAAATGCCACAATCAACGGCAGCGGTAGAAGAGCAGCCGCCGGTGACCACCAATGGAAATGACAAGGACTCCCCTAAGGCAACAACAGAAGCCTCCACAGTAGACAACCACGTTGAAGAAGGCGAAATAACTGACGTGAGTTTGACATTTTTATACAACAATGAAAGATTTGAGTTAAATTTCGCCATCTTTGAAATTTTTATATTAAGAAAACATTCGAATGGTGCACGCAATTTTTGGTGCAAAACCAGCAGACATACAAGCTTTTTAAAAAAATATATATTGTAATTATATGGTTGATGCAAGTTGGTATGTGTTTATGTATAAAAAAAAAAGTCAAAAATATTTATAATTAAAAACTAAAACGATTTTTTTAATTCATTTACACAGAAAGACGACGATGAAGGCTTCGAGGTGGCGCCTGGCAAGGAAGACAGCAAAACCTTACCTGCTGCCCCCAGAAAGGACGACAGTCCACAAGCCAAAGTGCCCGCCCAACGTCCGCGTAGCCGGAGCCATGAGAGATGTCGGCAACGCTCCTCCAGCCGCAGCCATTCGCCGCGTAGCCGGCGTCGTCGTCGCTCTAGAAGCCCGAAGAGCAGAACTCGCAGTCGCAGCCGACGATCGACCTCCTTGGAAAGACGCCGCCAGGAGCGACAGAAGCGTCATGAGGAGCGCGATAAGCGAGACAAACAGCGGGAGAGGGAGCGTGAGAAACGGCATCAGCAGAAGCGTGAGAGATCACGCAGCAGGCGACGCGATGATTCTCGGGAAAGATCCCAAAAGAGAGCTGGAGAACGCAAGACACAAGATCGTTCAACGTCCAGTCCCGGAACGAAGTCTTCGAAGACCAATGCAGATAATGAGACGGTGACCGAACCTGCAGCTAAGATCACCGAGCGTCAGAGGAAAACGGTGGATGTGCTGACCTCTAGGACGGGTGGTGCATATATTCCCCCAGCAAAGCTGCGCATGATGCAGGCACAGATCACAGACAAGGCATCGGCGGCTTATCAGCGAATCGCCTGGGAGGCCCTTAAGAAGTCCATCCATGGCTACATCAACAAGGTCAATGTGACGAATATTGCCATTATAACTCGAGAGCTCCTGCGGGAGAACATCGTCCGCGGTCGCGGCTTGCTTAGCCGGAGCATAATCCAGGCCCAGGCTGCCTCGCCCACCTTTACCCATGTCTACGCGGCTCTCGTGGGGATTATTAATTCGAAATTTCCGAATATTGGAGAGCTTTTGCTGAAGCGTTTGGTCATCCAGTTTCGACGGGCCTTCCGGCGCAACGACAAGTTGGTTTGCATGTCAGCCACTCGCTTCATCGGTCACCTGGTCAACCAGCGTGTGGCTCACGAGATACTGGCGTTGGAGATCCTCACCCTTCTGGTGGAGACACCCACCGATGATTCCGTGGAGGTGGCTATCGCGTTTCTCAAGGAGTGCGGCATGAAGCTGACGGAGGTGTCTTCCAAGGGCATTGGAGCCATCTTCGAGATGCTGAGGAACATCCTGCACGAGGGAAAGCTGGACAAGCGGGTGCAGTACATGATCGAGGTGCTGTTCCAGGTGCGCAAGGATGGCTTCAAGGACCATCCGGCCGTAGTAGAGGAGCTGGAACTGGTCGAGGAGGATGATCAGTTTACGCATCTCATGATGCTGGACGAGGCCACCGAAACGGAGGATATACTAAGTACCTATAGCGGTAGATTTTCTCGATTTGAATCATTTTAATCAATTTTTTTTTTTATCTCCTTTCAGATGTTTTTAAGTTCGATGAGAACTATGCCGAAAACGAGGAAAAATACAAGGGTTTGAGCCGCGAAATCCTAGGCAGCGACGACGGCTCAAGTTCAGGTTCGGGATCGGGCTCAGATTCGGACAGTGATTCGGATAACGAGTCTGGTTCGGATGCGGAAAACCAAGCAAAGACCACTGAGGCCGGCGAGATCATCGATAGCACAGAAACCAATCTGATTGCGCTCCGTCGCACCATTTACCTAACCATCAACTCCAGTTTGGACTACGAGGAGTGCGCTCACAAGCTGATGAAGATGCAATTGAAGCCTGGGCAGGAGATAGAGCTCTGCCACATGTTCCTCGATTGCTGCGCCGAGCAGAGAACATATGAGAAGTTCTACGGGCTGCTCGCTCAGCGTTTTTGCAACATCAATAAGATCTACATACCGCCGTTCGAGGAGATCTTTAAGGACACGTATCAAACCACACACCGGTTGGACACGAATCGCCTAAGGAACGTGAGCAAGTTCTTCGCCCATCTGCTGTTCACCGATGCCATCAGTTGGGACGTTCTGGAGTGCATCCAGCTGAATGAGGATGATACCACGTCGTCGAGCAGAATATTTATCAAGATATTGTTCCAGGAGCTGGCCGAGTACATGGGCTTGGGCAAGTTGAATGCAAAGCTTAAGGAGGAGGTATTGGTGGAGAGTCTGGCCGGTTTGTTTCCCAAGGATAATCCCAGGAATACCCGCTTCTCCATCAATTTTTTCACTTCCATTGGGTTGGGTGGATTGACCGACGACCTGCGGATGTTCTTGAAAACTGCGCCCAAGGCTGTGCCAGCAATTAATGCCGAAATCCTTGCCAGTGGGAATCCTTTCAGGGATGGCTCTGCCCCCGCCTCCACCCAATCTAATGCCAAGGTAACTCCCTCCTCGTCGTCGTCTGCTTCCTCCTCGTCCTCCTCATCGTCCTCAGAGTCGAGCAGTGATAGTTCAAGCGAAGAGGATAGCTCTGAATCTTCCAGTGAATCCTCAAGCTCAGATTCAAGTTCCGAACCGAAAAAGAAACGAAGGCGCAAGGGTAAAGACAAAAAGAAAGCCAAGAAATCTGGTAAGGAAAAGTCAAAAAAATCGAAGAACAAAAAGGCTGGAAAGAAAAAGAAAGCGGAGAAGGAAAAAGTAAAAGAAAAGAAGGAAAAAGAAAAGGAGAGACTAATGGAAAAAGAAAAGGAAAAGCTAAAGGCAGAAAAGGAGAGACTAAAAGCGGAGAAGGATCTAGAAAGGCAGAAGCAAAAGGAGAAGGAAAAAGAACGGGAAAAGGAGCAGCAACTCGAAAAGAAGCGACACAAGGAGAAGAAGCGCTCAAAGGGCAAAAAGAAATCAACTAAAAAGAAGTCCAAACGAAGGCAGGAACGCCAGGGGAATTCGGATTCCAGCAGCAACAGCAGCAGCGAAGGAAGCGGTGATAAATCTTCATCTGAGGATGAATCTTCCGACTCTTCAGATTCCTCCAGCGGTGCAAGCGATGCGGAGCCCCAGGCCAAGGTCTATCGCCAGGAGCAAATCAACAAAACACAAAATAAATTCAAAGGACAACCCATCGACAGCGACGAGTTTAATCTGGAAGGTCCTGAGGCCAGAGGACCGCCACAGCGCTATCAATCGAATGGAAACGGAAAGGGAAATGGTCAGCGAGATCGAGAGAGTTCCTTCGATAAGGAGAGAAAGCGGGAGAATATCTTTGGCAATGAAAGAAAGCATGATAATCCTTTTGACAGAGACAGAAAACGAGACAATTCTTCGAATGAAAGAGCCCGAAAGCGGGATAATTACTCCAATGAAAGAGGCCGAAAGAACGAGAATTCTACCAAAGACAGTGGTAGAAGGCGAGAAAATTCTTCCAATGAAAGAAGCCAAAAACGGGAGAATTCTTCCAATGAAAGAGGCCGTAAGCGAGAGAATTCCTCCACAGAAAGAGTCCGAAAGCGAGAGAATTCTTCCACTGAAAGAGCTCGAAAGCGAGAGATTTCTCCAGTTGACAGAGATCGGAAACGTGACAATTCCCCCTACGACAGACAGAAAAAACGCGACAGATCCCTTTCTTTCGAGAAACCACGCCGAAGGGAAAACTCCTCTCCAAGAGATCGGCGTGCGGAGAAAAGCAGTCGTGGACGCGGCGATCGTTCTTCCCGAGACCGGGACCGTGATCGGGATCTGAAGAGGCAAAGAGACCGTGACCGAGAGCGTGGCGACCGGGAAGTGGAACGATCTCGGGACCGCTCGCGTTCTCGCAGGGAGCGCAGCTCACACCGCAGGGTATCCAAGGGACGCGGCTAATATTTTTTATGAGACTGCAACCGTTGACGACGACAGACTTATTCTAAAGGCATTACAATATTTTTGTTAAATATTAAACATGTAAAACTGTGTACAAAGAAAACCCACTAAGCTGACAAAACAACAACAAATAATTGTACAAAATGCAACTATAAAAAAAAAATAAAAAATTAATAATGAACACCATTTAAACAAATTTATTTACTTGCATCTTCTATGTGTATTTTTAATATGTTTTACATATTTTTTATTGTATAATACTATTTGTTTTAAATTTTGCGGAATAAAAGATTTTTAACGTTTTTCGATTCTATTTAAAATTTTCTAATGAAAATTTAAATTTTACTAGTCTCCACAGTATTAGGATTTCAAAAATTTATTTTTGTCGAATATGTAATTAAAATCATTGGTGTAATTCATTAATTGTAAAGAATTTCTTAAATATTAATTTACGATAACAAATATAGATTCTACAAAATTTATCGACACCCGATATCAATATTTTTTTATAAATATAAATTTACAGAATTTGTGTAATTATATAGGTTTTATAAAGTTATAAAATTTAATAATAATAATAATATAACAATGTTTGAATTTAAACAATAAATAGCAAGGACTATTTTGAAAAAAAATTAAATCAATAAATAAACACACTAAACCTTAATTAGTTTTCTATAGTTTGATTTCCCTTTCCGAGTAAACAAAATTCAATCTAACATCAGCTAATTTTATATATATAAGTAATAATACATACTTTGTTTATTTACAATCTTTAACGTTATTTAATACAAATTGTTGTATAATTTTAAAATATTTATACTAGCCGCTTAACAGCTGTTAGAGACAAGGCTGCCACATCCAGAAAACATCGCAATGCGACTCTGCTGCCGGCTAGGAATCAACCCTGTTCAGTGTTGTGAAGCGCCACGGCTGCAAGTCGATCTGGCATCCCGAAAATTTCGAGCTGGCAACTCCCTTTTCGCACTAGTTTCGCCTGGCGTGAACACGCGGATTTCACTTGGTGGATTTTCAAATCAAAAAATAAGGTAATTATGGCAGCCATCCGCCCGGTTAACACAGCTATTAATGCTAATACGTATGCGGTGTATCTCGTTTCGATGAAAAACATCAGGCAGGATGACCAAGAAGCGCCGTAACGGAGGACGCAACAAGCACAACCGCGGCCATGTGAAGCCTGTGCGCTGCACCAACTGCGCCCGCTGCGTGCCCAAGGACAAGGCGATCAAGAAGTTCGTCATCCGCAACATTGTGGAGGCAGCCGCCGTCCGTGATATCACCGAGGCCAGCATCTGGGACTCGTACGTGCTCCCCAAGCTCTACGCGAAGCTCCACTACTGTGTGTCGTGCGCCATTCACTCCAAGGTGGTGCGCAATCGGTCTCGCGAGGCCCGTCGCATCCGTACGCCACCACTGCGCTCCTTCCCCAAGGACATGGCCCGCAACAACCAGAATAGGAAGTAGATATTTGGTCCCTAAATAGCTGAAGGAATAAGTAGGAACACTGGATGCAGCAACATCGACATGGACTCCACCAACACGTCCATCTAGAGCCGGGTTTCCTTCATGCAAATTGTATTTGGTTTTTGTGGAACGCGGCGAAGCGAAGAAAAGCAGACGAAATATATTGATGCATCCAGTTTTTTTATAATTCGAAATAAACAGTGTGTGCTCAATGGGAAACAATTATGAATGTATGTACAAGGCCTGTCAGAAAAGGGCATCCGCAAGCATATCAATGCTACCTTTCAACTGCAGCAGATGAGACATCTCCCCATGAGTTTGTACCCAAAAGGGGTTTGGATTTGTCCAAGTAAAGGAAGTGCCCGAGTATATGATATAGAAGCTATGTGCTGGCTAGTCTAGTCTTTGATATCGAAGCTACCACGCTTTTCGTACAAATATGTACATATATGAAATAAGTAACAGCAATATTATAATATTAAAGTAGGTAAACGGCATGAAATCATGAAGGGTTCCAGTGCAAATATGAGGAGCATAGGGCTGACTAAATTAATTAGAAAACTAGTCTTTTAAGTTATCTAAGGAAACGATATCAATAGTTTATATTGTTTATTTGAGTTATTAAATATTTATATCTAGAAGTGACGAAGCGACCCTATATCTCACAGCAATCATTGTCAAAAATTATAACTTTTGATCTTGAACATATCCATCCATTTATGTTTTCAGAATAGCTGCCTCAGAAGTCATAAAAATATAATATGAACATTAGAAGAATATCGATACTTTTCAAAAATTTATATATATGGAAGAAATTTTCTCTTATTTCATGAACATGTATTTATTTTAGGAAACGTAAGCATTAGTTTATATTGTTTATTGAAGGTATTACATTTTTTTACTTAAAAATGCCGAAGCAACCCTATATCTCACAGCAATCATTGTCAAAAATGATAACTTTTGATCTTGAACATCTCTATTTATGTTTTCAGAATAGCTGTCTCAGAAGTAATAGAAATATAATATGAACATTAGCAGAATATCGATACTTTTCAAAAATTGTTATACATGGAAGATAATTTCTCTTATTTCATGAACATGTATTTATCTAAAGAAACGCTATCAATAGTTTATATAATTTATTTAAGGTATTACATTTTTATATTTAAAAATGCCGAGGCGACCCTATATCTCACTGCAAATATCGTCAACGATTATAATATTTGATCTTTAACATGTCCAATTCATTTATGTTTTTATAATAGCTGTCTCAGAATTAATAGGAATATAATATGAAAATTGGCGAAATATCGATATTTTTCAAAAATTTGTATTTGTGGAAGAAACTTTCACTTATTTCATGAACATGTATTTAATTAAATACAAAAAAGTTAAGTTGAATAAGATTCTGTGCTTAGAAATGTCCATCATGCGAAATAGTTAGTTATTTTTTTTTTTAAATCTAGTTTTCTGCTATCGGATAGCGATCAGCACCCTTGCAGAAGCTGTCGATGTTTGACGACCATTCTGCCATCTCAAATTTTTCGAAAGTCCATCTCTAATTTGATCTTCCGAAAAACACGAAAAGAGCTTAAATTTTGCAAGTGTGCAAGTGGGTGTAATTAGCGAATTATTATCGTTGAAATGCCGCAAATAGAAACAGTGAACCGGGAAAAAGTCAAACAGTGTAAACAACAAACCTCGTAAATGATAATAATAAGAAGAACGTTGTGGCAGGGATTTAATCAATTTTTTTGGTGAGTCTATTTTAACGGTTAACTTTTCTGGTAAAGAGAGGGGGCGACGCACTCTCTCGTGCGGTCAATTTTAACTGTTAATTCATCTGTGGGAGAGGGGCGAGGCGCTCACCTCGAGTGGAATATCTCTTTTCCTGCTTCCACCTCTTTCCTTTAAAATCCATAAAAAAATAAGGCAAATGCAGACAAAATATAACAAATTTTAATTAAATTCTTGAATTTCTCTTTAATATATTCCACGTCTCCCATAGTTTTATTCTTAGTGCTTCGACACTTAATTATTTTATTATAAATACATTTTAACTTTGCCAGTTTTTAATATATTATAATTTATTTTGAGATATAGCCAATTTCTTATTACATATTTTGGTTTTATTTTATTAAAATCAGAAGACTTTATCATAAAGCTGCCAAAGAAACGATTGTCAAATCTAGAGAAAAATTTAAAACAATCTTGAAAACTGTAAAAATAATATGTATTTGTGAATGTTATGAAATTGGGCTTTACTTTGTTGTTTTTTATAGAAATTATTATAAATGATGGGATTGCAATTAGCAAGGGTATACAAACTTCGGCGTGCCGAAGTAAGCATCCTTTCATGTTTGGCATAAATTACACAGACGTGAGTGCAAAGGCAAATGAGTGTGCGAGGCCTCCCAATGAGTCGTATATATGTACGTGTGTACACTTCCTTTTCCGGCTTACCCTTTTTTCACGATTTTTCCTTGGCTTTCTGCTGTTTCAGCTGCCCGGACTTGCTGTTGGTCTGAATTATTATTTTCGTTTTGCCAAAGGAAAATAAAAATAAAACGCACACATAAGCGGCAGTCGCTGGTAATTTAGCATAAATTAAATAGAAGGCACACAAGTGTAAATGAAAGTTGCGATGGGAAGGAGCCAGGGGTCAAAGTTGAAATTGATTCTCAGCAAGAGAAGAAATATAATTTACTACTAAAATTTTGACAAGCAACAAAGCATTAAATTGAGAAGAGAGAAATTTAACACATATATTAAATACATAAAAATATACTTTACAAAAAAATCCTTCAGGTGTCCAGTGAGTTTAGCCTGAAGTGATATCCAGAAATGTTGTTATCCTTTTCGAATATCTCAGGAATCACCTTAGTATCAGGCAGTATTTTAGGGAAATAGAGTTTGTTTCCCTTTGTTCTTTCTCCTTAAGATAAATCTGTGATTTTTTCCTGTAATGTGAATAGGTAAAAGGACTGTGAATCTAACGTTGCCGAATTCAAAGAGAATGGGCTGATCCTTGTAACATGGCAACGACTCCTTTGCTTGTTTTGAATATATATTGTTTAAAAATACAAGTTTAATATAATAAAAAGGTTTCGTATTCCTGTTTAATAATAAGAATAAAACCCAACGTGTGTATAGTATATATATTTATTTTTTTGTTTTTTCCCAGCAAATTTTTTTTGAGTATTCCTTTTATTTCGGTTAAAGCTCTCCTACACTGGTTGCGACCTTTCATTTAATTTTATGACTGACAAAGCACACTTAAAACCCGTACACACATGCATATCCACTTATTCCGCTTCAATGGTGTCCTATTCATACTACCGACTGGGACACACGACATTCATTCGGATAGCACATTCTATTATATATATTTCATAGTTTCGATGGCTTTTTGTGCACTTGCTCGCTCACTTTTCCACTTTCTCCTCTCACTTCTAACCCTCGATATGAGGCTCCTGCCATATTTTAACTTTAATTTCCGTTTTTTTCCTCCGTTTTGAGCCTTCCCATTCGATTGCGATTCCAATATCCTTTTTATTTTTATACCCTTACAAGGTATTATAATTTCAGTCAGAAGCTTGTAACGCTGTAAAGGAGTCATTTCCGACCCTATAAATCATATATATTCTTGATCAGCATCAACAGGAAAATCTATAGAAAATAGAAAGAAAGAAATATTGGAAAGCTTTCCGCATTAAAATTAATGTAGTTTTGGTGTAGTTGTGAAAGTTTTTAATTTTTTTTTTCATTTGTCATATAAATCGTATTTATCGATCATGAAGGGGAATATTTTTTAATCCTAGTTATGATCGATTTCCGATTCGATGCGATAGTTTTTTAGCAAGGGTATATCAACTTTGGTTACTCGAAGTTAGTTTCCTTTCTTGTTTTTAAATGTATTTCTCTCTTTTTTTGTTGCTAGCACCTAATGCCAGAGCCAGAACAAAACACTTTCACTGCCTCTTCCTCCGCTGTCACGGGTCCTGCCATTTTTTGTGGCTCCTTTTTTTGTTGCTCTCTGTGTATATCGTAAATAAAAACGTTAAATGTTTTTTTAACGTGCGCCACTTAACACTCCGTACAATTTAAAGGCAATTGGGCACACCAGAGAACAGCAACAGCAATGGCAATGGCAACCGAGCAACAATGGCCACAAAAAGTCAAGCCAATGCACATACGATATCTCTTCTTTTTTCCCTTTATATACATATATGTACATACATATATAAATGTGGACGATACGTATATGTCTATGTCAGGGGATTCATTCTCTTTAAATAAAGGCTGAGTGGGTATATTTGATATCCTTGAATGCAACAGGCTAAAGGAGAGCCTTAGAAATAAGAGCCAATTAAAATATTAAAATATTCAAGTACTAGATATACAGATTAATTCGATTTTTATTTTAATTTGAACCAAGTTATTTACAAGTAAGTAAATCGATAATCGATGTAGGTGATACTCCACAAGTTCGATATAAAACGATAAAACAAACAAATATATAATAATAATTATTCTAAAAATTATGAATTTAATTATTTTTTGTTTTATCTTCCTTAAAACTCCTTTCAGTATACATTTAGAGGGTATCCAATCCGATCCATCGTTTTTTAGCACTTTCCCCTCCTTCCCAATGTTCATGCCCCCATTTTATTATTATTATTTTGACATTTTGTTGGCTGGGTCGTAATTTAATATAGATTTTTGCCCGCCCCTTCGGTCGCTCATTTTTTATGTTTCAAACAATAAATTGTCAATTGATTTCTGGTTCTCCTATTTATGAGACAGCCATATTTTTGAGGACCTTTCGCCGCCGCTGTGGAAAGAAAAATTGTTGAACACATGGCAGGAGAGCGAGATTTTCCACATTCACATCTTGTTACTCGTAAGTCGTACGTATTTCTTATCAAACAAATCGTAAAAGAACACGCAATTTCTTTTATTTATTGTGTAAAAAATCATCAAATGGCGTTTGCTTTTATTTCAATTATGGCATTGCTCTCTCCTCCTGTGAAAATTAAAATTCTTTTTTATGTGTTACCCGCCGTTGAGCAATATCAAAGTGATACGGGCTTCCTGCGGGACACATGTACTACCTATAAATATAAATATGATAATGTAAAAAATGGCATAAACATGTATTTATTGCCCTTTCCATTGTGTTTATTTTCTGATTGATA